ATATAAATATTATAAATTAAAAAAGTGCTAAAAAATATGTTAAGTATAAATCTTGTCTTATTTCTACTAATTTATTTATTCAATATTTAAATATAGCTGTCAAGTTGATACTAAATTAATACTAAATCTATTTTATTATGTATCAGCTAGCTTGAATATCTGCTACAACTGCCCAATTAGTTTCTCGCAGTGCAGTAAACACGTGCTCCTTCGCTTTCTTCCACCTAGGAATTTCAAATGAGGTAGTTGTTTTTTAGTAGTTTTACGCTCAGCGGCTTTCAGCCGCTCCGTTGTTACCATTTCATTGGCTGGCATTGCCCTGCGGTTTATTATGCGAACGGTCGACTCTAGGCATATATTCAATATTCATATTTCTAAGCGAAAAAGGAAAATTTATTACCTTAAAAGAAAAAGCCCAACATACACACACACACACACACGCAAACAACACACATGATTGCCGCATTGAGTGGAAGGGATGCCTGTCTCAGTGTGCGTGTGTGTGTGTGCGCCTAGTTGTGGTCCATGTGGGCGTGGCACATGTCGCTGTCGCGCTACCTTTTGTTGCCAATCGCCAACTAGAAAATTGTTTGTTTTGGCTGCAAATAGAAAAAAAAGCGAACAAAATTTAATCTCAAATTGAAGGTACTTTGTGGCACTGTGGCGCCTAAGCGAAATTGCCACGGAACAGCCGCAGGCGACATTTGTGGCAAATGTCAGGTGGCAGCAAAGGCAGCCAGCCCCGCCCCCCCAAGTCAATGCAAGTGGACCGTAAATGTCGGAACGCGCCTTTAAGAAAGATGTCGTATATATCGTATATATAAATTCGTAGAGTTGCAGCACAATTTTAGAACTAATATTTGTATTTCCACAATTTATGACTCATAAATTGCGCATTTTGTGTGCGTGTGTGTGTGCGTGTGTGTATGCGTTCATGTGTGTGAGTGTGTCTGACTTGTTTTTTACTTCCCCTATGGGTTGGTAGCACAAATTTATGAGCTTGTCGCTCTAAAAATTATGCTAAAAAATTATTTACTGTTAGAAAAAATAACAAGTTTTGCATTTGTACTTTGTTTTCTTCTTTCCATACAAAAATTCTTGACAAATATAAAAAAAAAAAAATTTAAAAATAATTTGCTAGCAAATGAATTATAAATAAAATACAATAAAAATATATATTTGCAAACTATTTTATTTTATTTCTGTTTGGCTTTATCATAATTTGAGCATAAGTATATATATACTGTAATAATTGAAATATTTTAATAATAAGACATTTATTTTATTTAAAGTAAGAAAAATTAATAAAAATATTAAAATCATATTAAATTAATAATAACATTTCTGTATATTTCTAAGACTACCCTCGCAAAATTCTAAAACAATTCTCTAAGTAGATTTTCAGATTTGTACAAATAATTAGTTTATTCGCAAAGGGCAATTATTTTTATAAACTATATCTCAATGATTTGTCACAAAAAAACAAAGTAAATTATTTTTCGCTTTTGAATGGTTTACTCTCAAATTGTTTTCATAGTTCTTTCATATGTAATTTTTATCTGCTATTCAGGCTTTGACTTTGAAAGATTATTATTAAATGTTGCATTTGGAAATAATTATTGCAATTTCACGTTTGTCCAAGAATTAATTGGTTTGTGCCCTGGCACACAGATTATGCACTTTGTGCAGCTGACGTGCTATTTGGTAATTAAAAGTAAAATTTCAAATCAATTAGTATGAACAAAATGTGCTCACGCTGATTGTTCTCTGGAGATAATTCAGCTGCTCGAAGCTACGGTATAAAAAGGCAATGCAAATGCAGTGAGAAATCAGTTACAAAATCAAATCAAAACAAAAATGAAGCAGTTCGCATTATTCGCTGTTTTCTTTCTGATGCTGGCGGTTGCTTTGGTGAGTGGGCGGCTAGAAAATTGAAATTATGTGCTCTATAAAATTTGTTTTGCTTCCGCTTTATAGGCTGCGATGCCGCAAATGCCGCAGATGCCACAAATGCCGTCTAAGCATTTTGGCCAGATTATGAACTCTGGCTTTCTTAAACAAAATGCCGGACAGCATGGCCAACAGGGCCCGGGACAGGAACACGGACACGGACAGGGACATGGACATGGTCCACCACCGCAAGAAGGCCAGAATGGCGGTGACCAAGATAAGAACTGAGTGTTAATTGGTTTTTAAACGGCTGTAAATGGATTACTGAAATGACGTCTCGATTGAATAGTTGTAGTTGCTTGGGTGCTCAAGAGTTTAAATAAAAGTTATTGCATGTGTATAAATGTTATTAAGGTTCTTTAGCTCTCTTTCAATCTAAGCTATATTAACAGCAGTTTTTATGAAAGTTGAATTAGATTTAACATATGTCACCAAGGAAACTGTCCCTGAGTTCAGTTTTCAATGTGTAACCTAACCTTTGACAACTCTTCCAATCATATGGCCTAACAGTGCTATGTTATGTTAAGCCAACATTTATTACTGCTTTATTCTGTTAAACAGTGCTATGTTATGATAAGCCATTCATTACTGCCTACTTCTGTTAAGCTGCTTGACATTGATGTTAAAGTTATGATTAAAGGAATAGAGAGCTTGAGCACAGTCACTAACAGTCAGTGAATACCTTTGTTAAAATTTTTACATAACATTCCCATATTTTTGTTAAGTTTTCTACCTGTCTCTGTAACTTAACAGCACTGAACTTAACATGCAATTGAACTTCAATAAGTATAAGAATTTTCCATAAAGTTTTTAGCTAAGATTCTGTTAACAGTTCGGTAAACTTTTTAAACAGAAAGTTAAGGAAACTGATATAACATTTGAGTGGCAACAGAAATAAAATAATCAATGCAGCAAAATGTTTCAATAAGCAACAATTTAAAAGGTGGTCCAAACTTTAAATATTTACAAAGGTGTCGGAGAGAGCGAGGGTGAGCGTGAGAAAGAAAATAAAAAAGTTTTAACCTGAGAACAAGTTTTTTATGTGCTCGAACCGCGGCTTAAAAGTAACCAAAAAAAACTTTGAGTTAAATACCAATCTGCATATGCAGCATGTACATACTCATATAGCTAATATACTCTACAGACATACACACACATCTATACATATACATATATACGTATACATATACATATATAAATCTGTATTTATATCTTGTTCTTCGTGTGGCAGACAAGCGAACTCGGACTTTTTCCAGTTGGCAAACTTTATTAATAAAATGCACAAAGTGAACGAATTATGAGCATCAAATACATAAATATAGTCAAACTCTCTCGCTCTTACAATGCCGTAGGCTCATTCTTTTGCCAAACTAGACTTTATAACTGTTTCAGTTGGGGGGCGTGGCGTGTGGGCACAAATTCTAGCTGCAGTTCTGTGCCTTATTTCATTTAACAAATTGCCGAGTGCTTATTACCAAAAACAGGATAAAAAAAAAAGTACAAAGTATTTTTCCTTTTGCCTGTGAGCGCTTTATAATTGCATTTACCGTGTCTCAAGTCTGGCTGACACGCCTCCCGCCCTCGGTGTGTGTGTGTGCATTACTCTAACTTCCGAGCTTATGCAGCTAGGGCAGGCGCTCATGTGTGAATGCACCTGAGAGCAGCTATATCCAAAAAGTTTCAACTAACACAGAGACACCACACACACGCACGTACACACCTATGTGTGTCTCTCTTCGATAACCAAATGCTTGATGAAAAACTTACGGCAGCAAAGGTAAAAAAAAAAGAAAGAATATCGAAGAAATTTTCTGAATAATGATTCCTTCAGCCATATCCAATAACCATATCGAGGCAGCTCGACGTATCATCAACATACACATGTATGCATAATTTCCGTTATGCGTGCGGTGTGGTTGCGGGCGGGCTGCAGGGCGGCGGGCGTGGCCAGTCACATTAGCAGCGAGCGTATAAACAAATGCAAGCTGGCAGCGCATTGAGTGAAAGCTCTGCTCAGACATTTTCACTCCAAGCGTGCAACACGTGACGCCACGCATTGAGCGTATAGCTGTGGCTTGTGTCGAGGCAACACCCAAGGATGCTGCGCCAGAGTCCAACATGTTGCTTGCCACAGCGAGGCGAACGAGTGAAAAGCCGAACACGAGCGAAAAAGCCAAACAAAAAAGAACGAAAAAAAAAAAAAAAAAAAGGAAATGAAGCCGAAACCCGAGCTAAACGAGCTTATACGAGGTGGCGCCTCCGCACGAGCACGACGAACTGATAAAGCCAACGGTTGCTGCCACGGCCTCTGCTGCTGCTGCTGCTCGCTGCTGCTGCTGCTGCTGCTGCTGCCACAGCGTTTGGCTAAGCGTGGCAGCAGGCTCGCGCTTCGGTCAGTTGAACATTTTCCATGCTGTGATCAAGTTGTCTTTTCCTCTGAGCGCCGAGCGCTGTGAACGCCTTGGACGAGGAGCAAAATAATAAATACGCATTCGAAGGAAACTCAAGCCAAAAATCTCACGTTGCCCCAAAAGCAAATAAACAAACCAAAAATTTAATGGCCGAGCATCAAGTGCAGTGCGTTTGAATGTATGTGTGGAAATATATGTGTGTGTGTTTGTGTGTGTATGAGTGTGTGAGTCTAATTGCATGTGTGTGAAGCGTGCTTAATGGCTTGAGAAATTTGGTAGGCGTGGCAAATGCAGCTGCAACAGAGACCAAAAGACGCCAACAGCTAGGCAGGAAGCGAGCAATAAGCCACGCCAAATGGAAACTGTGTGTTAGTGGGTTTGTGAGTGGGTGAGTGTGAGAGAATGTGTGTGTGTGGCAATTGTTAAGGCAACTTTGGCTAACTGCAACAATCGAGTTGCTAAATTGTTGCTAATTGCTGAGGGGTTTGCTCTGAGTGCCTGTCCAACAGTTTCATATACACATATATAATATAACTATTCTATATGTGTATGTATAAAAATTACATTTACAGCTCAACGGCAAACAATTTGTGAAACGACGGACTGACTTACATGCATTTTATTAGTACATAATATCAAAACCAAAAACAAAAACAAAAAACCAAAATCAATTCAATTGAACTTAAAATAAAAATGAAGTAACAAAAACACCAAAAATCAAACATTTTTGTAACTTAATTACAACATAAAAAATCAAGCAAACAAACACACGCAAAATAAAGAGAAGCAGAAAATCAAATAAATTCAACGGTTTCGACTGAACTGGGAAAAATACAACAAACAGCAACAAAAACAACAAGCAAACAAACCAAATTCAAAAATAAACAAATAACGCAACAAAAAAATTGAATTGTGAAATGAAGTGCCGAAAAAACAGCCGTTCAATTCGTAATAAAATATCAACAGCGGCTCGAATGTAACAGCAACAGCAACTTGAATGGGCAGCATATCAAAAGGCGTCATCGACATCACACTGTTATCGAAATCGATAGCAAAATAATTAACAAAAAAAAAGAAACAAAAAGCGAAACGAAACAAAACGTGAATTGAGTTTGGCAGGCGCAGCCAATGAAATCAACGAAGACGCACAAATCAAGCATGGAACCTAAAATTGTAATGTACAACAGTAAATATATATATACATATATATGCTATATATACACACACACGCACAGTCGTACACTCGCACACACACACTCTTAACACACTCAAGAAAATTTGCACCAAGTCATGCGTCACGTCACTTTTCTACAAAAATTTTTTGTTTTGTTTTTTTGTTGTTTCTTCTTTTACATTTCTTGACTTAAATATTGCACAATATAAATAGCATTTCATGCTCATTGTTACACACACACACACAGCAGATACACATACACAATTCCTATGCAAAATCATTTTTCACTTATATATATATACGTTTTTTATTTGATTTCTTTTTTTTTTGCAAGTTAAAAGCTTTTTGGTCCATTGCCATTTTTAGACGCAATTTCAACTTTCATTTAACAATGAATTTTCTCCTTTGCACACACATAGCAATGCAATTTGTACATTTTGTATTCTATTTGAATTCGAATTTAACCAATATTCTCCACTCTCTACAACAATAAGTAAGTAAAGAAAAAATAAAATAAAAAGAGCTAACTTATATTCTTTTATACTATCTATCATCTAGCCATTAGCATTATTTGTGTTTCGCCAAACTGTTGCAAATTGACTCGAATTTTATTTGCCTTCAATTATGCGCGTTTCATATCTCTGACTTTGATTCCTGTGGCAAATTATGCAAATATCTATTATATCAATATATGCAAAATATATTTATAACTGTAAGCTGTATGCTTACAATACTGTTGATCTTATCTGTGCAAATAAACAGTTATATGCATAGACAAACATATTTATATGCAATTATAACAGTGTGCAAATATGTGGGGAATGCATTATGGGGAATGCATTAACCGTTGTAATTAATAAACCGTTGTAAAAGATATAGAGATAGCAGAGAGCAGAATGTTAGTAACAGCTGCAGCTGTTATCTTTGACAGACATCACGATTGACTGATAGTGTCTGTGTCTTTTAACAGGCATTAGACATAACAGAATTTTCTTAACAGCAGTCTATTTATAGCACTCCTCGGCATTATGGGCTGTAAATTTGTTGAAGATTGATTTGTCGTATCTGTGTAAAGGATTTATATATATATAAATTATGATATTCTCCCTCATCATTATAGGCTGAATATTTTTACTATATTAAGTTGCTAAGCCAATTGGAAATTATGCAAATGTAGAGTTAGATATAAAGTGTTTAACTGTTGGTAATTCTCTCAGTCTGTGGCGATTCTATTTCTCTCACTCTCTCCACCTATCTCCCTCTTTCTCTCTCTCTCTCTAACAGCTGCGTATATAGCAGCACCAATTCTTTAACAGCTGTTGCTATATTAACATAGTGCGCACATTTCATTTCTCATTTCAGCTATTCAAATGAGAGAATTTCGCTATTAAATGTCAATTTCGTTTAAATTTGCTAATTATCCCAACTCACTCTAACTTTTAGTCACAAATCGTTGGCATTTAGCCCATTGTATGCCGATTGTAAGCTAAGCGCTAAATATATTTACTGTCGATTTGCAGACTTGAAAAGCAAATAACGCGCATTTCACACATTTCGAATTGTTTGGCATTCGTTCAATAATGGCAGCGGGGGGCGTGGCTGTGGGGCAGCGGATAAAACCTTCAATTGAAATACTTGACAATTAATTATGCATAGCTTACGAGCCAAATATAGCGAATATTTGCAAATAGGCGAATAGGTAAAAAATGGAGATAAAAGGCATATAACAGAAATGTAAACTGAATCCATAAACATATTTAAAAATTCATTATGTCTGCATACCAACATGATTTATGCCCATTATATAAATGTACAATGACAAATATTTGTGATATTTCAGCTGTGCAAATTGGTTAATGATGTGCGATTCAATTAACAAATGTTTATTCACAGTAAATTGCAAATATTGTTGAAAGTAAATGCAAATTTACAGAAATACAAGCCATGCAATGTGTAAAGTAAAGTGTGAGAGGGGCCGACTTATGTGAATGTATATATAATATGTATATAGTATAATAAATAGTCTTGGGCTTAAAAGCCGTTTGAGCTGTCTTTATGCAAATTCATTTACTAAATGCAAGCAGAAAGATTTTGCTGCTAGATATAATTGATAGAAATGTCAAAGTATATTTTGAATAGGAAAATTCATAAATCAGCCTTATTGAAGCAGTGTTGCAAGTGTAGGCAGCGGGAGGCACTGAGTGGAACAGCTGCTCAGAAAATTCAATAAATTATAATTTGCTGGATAAGTTTTTATTTTAGTTCTTAGAAATTCATATAAATTTGGGTCAAAGCATCAATGAAATAAATTGTCATTCAAACTTGTTCAAGCTTGACATGACAAAATTGATAATTGAAGGAATATACATAGTCTAAAATAAACAATATGTGTGCTCTATGCTAAACTGCGAAGATTCAGATAATAATCTCTATGTTAAACTGCTTTTTTTAACTAAGTACCTTATCACTGTTATTGGCCTTAACATAGTTCTTATTGCGAATGTTAAGTTTAGTAACAGTTTAGTAACCTATGTTAAATTCACTTAACATTCCCATCCATCAAGTAAGCTGGCCTTCGTTTGCCTATATCTTCTTTAAATTGTGAATTGATGAGTGATAAAGAAATTTGAATTCTATACAAGAAAAAAAAGAAAACAAGTAAGAAAGCTCCAGTCGAGACTGCTCGACTAGGAGATACCCTGAACCCTCCAAGCTGATATTCTATTCATTCTGTACTTCTTTTATGCACACATACATACACATGCATCCACACGCACGCATAAGCCTGCGCTCTGCTAACTGCGCAGTAAGCAGCGACTGCGCTTGGGCTGCGCTGCAGTGTAGGTAATATTATGAGAATTTATTTGTTGAATAACTTCTTTTGTAGACATACGATCTTAATGAAACTTTTAGAGCGTAATCATATGGTAAATATGTGTGCACATTCCAAAGCCCAAGTCTCTAGTACTTGAAATGCGTTTTTTACAAATTGGGGGAGAAGGGGGCGTGGTATCCAAAATCTGTAAATTACAAAATCTTTGTATCGATTA